AGACTATGCACGTTTTTCGTTTTTTTTTTCTTGAGACGGATGTTTCACCTTGGTCGTTGCCCCAGGCTGGACGTGATGCGTGATTACTCGACTTCACCACCAACCTCTGTCTCCTGGGTTTTAAGTGCTCTGTCACCATCTCAGCCTCCCAAGTAGCTGGGCAATTCAGCATTGTGCCACCACAACCCGGGCAATTTTGCTATTTAGTAGAGGACAGGACTTTCTCGCATGTTGGTAAGGCTCCGGTCCTTTGAACTCCCAAACTAGGTGATCCGCCAGCTTCGGCCTTCCCAAAGTGCTGGGATTACAGGTGGTGATCCCTGCGCCCAGCCGAATTGCAGTTTTTAAACGAAATACGCATGCTAAGGGCCGAGGCACGTGGGCTCAAGGCTTAATCTAGCACTTTGGTGAGGCTGAGTTCAGGGTGGCAGTCATTTTTAGTCGCCTTGGCTACTCTTGGAGGCTGAGGCAGGAGAATCACTCAACCAGCGGAGGCAGGAGGTTGCAGTGAGCAGGATCGTGCTCTCACTCCGAGCCTAGGTGACAACGAGCAAGCTCCCTCAAAACAAAACAAACAAAAACAAAAAAAACTAATCACACATCAAGGCAAGACTAGCGCCAAAAACAGCCATCAAGGCCTTTGTGACCGCATGTTAAGGAAAACCTAATCCCCTGTATCACTGGGCATTAGAGTGAAGGGAGCAGCTCAAGGTGTTAGATTATATATACGTAGTAGGTCTTTAGAGATGATTGAAGGTCTCGCAGCCCCTGGGTAGGATCTCCGTATGCGAAGGTTGAGGGTCAAACAAAGAAAAACAGAAGAAACCGTTAGGATCTGAGACTTGGGTTGAGGGACATCTAGGTAGATTACACACAGGAATCTTGAGTTCCCCAGATTCCTCTAAACCTCTGTCACAAGCCTGTCAGAGTTTGCTCAGTATATATATATTTGATGGAACAGTAGTCTGGTACTTAGTCCATTTTCACACTGACAGTAAAACATCCAAGGACTGGGTAATTTCTTACCGGGAAAAAGGTTTAATGGGACTCACAGTCCCACCATCGCTGGTGGGCATATGCGTGTGTTTGTTTGAGCCACCGCGCCCAGCCGAAGCTGTCTTCTTGTGCTGAGTCAGTTCCTGGGTGGGGGCCACAAGATCAGATGAGCCAGTTTATCGATCTGGGAGGGGCCAGCTGATCCATCAAGTGCAGGGTCTGCAAAATATCTCAAGTACTGATCTTAGGAGCAGTTTAGAGAGGGTCAGAATCTTGTAGGCTCCAGCTGCATGACTCCTAAACCATAATTGCTAATCTGTTTTTTTGTTTTTGTTTTTGTTTTTTGGAGTCTTGCTCTGTCATCCAGGCTGGAGTGCAGTGGGGCAATTTCAGCTAAATGCAACCTCCACCTCCTGGGTTCAAGCGATTCTCCTGCCTCACCTCCTGTAAAAATTGGTTAGATCATGGCAGTGGCAGCAGTGTACCATAAACTTAACCAAACAACAACCCCAATTGCAGTTGCTGTATCCCACATGGTAACTTTGTAAAACAGTTTTTTTTTTTTTTTTTTAAAGTCTCACTCTGTCCCCCAGGCTGGAGTGCAGTGGCATGATCTCTGCTCACTGCAAAGTCTGCCTCCTGGGTTCATGCCATTCTCCTGCCTCAGCCTCCCGAGTAGTGGGACTACAGGTGCCTGCCACTACGCCCGGCTAATTTTTTTTTGTATTTTTAATAGAGATGGGGTTTCATCGTGTTAGCCAGGATGATCACGATCTCCTGACCTCGTGATCCACCTGCCTCGGCCTCCCAAAGTGCTGGGATTACAGGCGTGAGCCACCACGGTCAGCCGTAAAACAGTTTAACATAGCCTCTGGGTGTTGGTGTATAGCCATTAACTTGGTTGGTGAATGTTATTTTCCATCCCAAATGGATCAGAAAGGAGAATCAGAAG